AGCTAGAGCCTAACAACCACACTCCTTACAGTTTCATCCTTCAATGCAGGCCTCCTGCAGCCAAGAAGTCTCTCACATTAGGAAGTGCTGCTCCTAATCTAGGAAGCAAAGCAGGAGACTAGAAGAGGGCAGGGAAAGCAATGGATTCCAAGCAAAGCAATATCTCATCATTCTTCAAGACAGTTAAATTGTGCAGAATGAAGTTTCTACCATGTCAAACTGGAGGTTGCAGCCTAATTCACGCCCACTACCAAGGTAAGTTATTTTTGGTTTCATATGATTTTGTCAAGGCGTTTGAAATGTCCTTTTTGTGTCTTAGTTTTGATCCACTAAAGCTTTTTGACATCTTGAGGAGCAAAAGACTGATGTTTATAGGAGATTCAGTGCAGAGAACCAGTTTGAGGAAATGGCTTGTTTGGTACAATGCATGATTCCTGAGGAGAAAAAAATTCTTTCATAGAATTCCTCCCATGAAGATCTTCAAAGCTGAGGTACCTTAACTTTTCTGCCGATCGTGCTTTCCTATTTTACACAAATTCTTCACTTTATCCTAATAAATCTACTTTTAATATGTGTTAAATAGTATGAAGTCTTAAATATAAGGAATTAACATAGCAAACATTTAAAGAATCTGTGTTAAGATACTTGATCCCAGTATTCTGAGCTTTTGAAATGTGTTTTAGGAGTATAATGCATCAACTGCATACTACTGGGAGCCCTTCATACTGGAGTCTAATTCAAACCATGCAACAAATCACTATTCTGAGACAGCTGGTGAACCTTGATGCCATAGCCAAAAATGGCAAGAACTAGGAAGGAGTTAATGTGAGGTTTGAGAGCTATGTCTTGAAATAGTTCATGACATTTTACAATAACTAAAGATCAATGTTCCGGATTAGAATATAAAATGGATCTTTGAGTACATTGCTGAATATAGAAGCATTGGGGAGGAAGGACACTGGATTAGAGACCGAGGAATGAATGTGCAACGTATGGTATCATGACAACCTCCCCTGGAGATACTGTTAAGATCAGTACTGTTACAGCAATACCACGAGGGCAAAGGCAAAGCCAGGTTTGGAGTTGTACTCAGGAAGTAGGAACTGTGACAGCAAAGTTATAGGAGCTGCGCAAAGAACTTGTGGGTTTCAAGGATCGGTTCTTCAAGCTGAGGTTATGGCTATTGATTTCGCATGGCATGTGGGCAGAGAATTTGGACACGGCAATGTCATCATTAAATCAGATTGTCTTAAAGTCATACGAGTAGCTGTGCCCAACGATGATTGTTATCTTCCGTTTGGAGCAATAGTGGAGGAACTTCGAGCTAAGAAATCCATTTTCTTTCTCTATGTTTCCAGCATGTAAAGCGTTAGTGTAATTTGCTAGCACATAGGTTGGCTCAGCTGCATTCCCTTCTCCACCATGGGAGGGTGTTCGCAAATAAGGAATGTAAAATCAAGATATTTGATACAATCATATAAAAAAATGAGTAATTTTCATCCTATTCTTTTCGGTACGAGGAAATTGATATGTTTGGCAGTGCTAACAATACGAGAAAAGTGCAAACCAAAAATGCCATGAACAAGTTAGAATGTTTTTACCACTTATGAAAGGATCCCTTCAATGGACGTATAACCCACCATTTTTTATTATTCATGGTACGTTGATTTTGCCCGCACAAGCAAGAGCCCTGGAGATCAATCCAGTTACATTGAGCAGCAACCTCTTCACTAATTATTTACAAAGTTCCCATTCGGAATCACTTTCAAGTTCTGTTTGCAAATTTTCACACCCCATTTCAGCATCTCCAACCCAAATTGCTAGCTGCTCATACCCCTTAGCTAAACCCTTTTTGGCAGTTTGAGCATCCCAGAACATTTGCTGGTTAAGCAGAAGACAAAAACATATCTTATTGACAAACTGAGGTTATGAATTAAGAAAGATTACATACAAGGTGAATTACACACATGAAGCTTAATCAAATGCATATCTTATTAATGATGCTCTCTTCTGCCGTTGTTGTTCTATTTTAGACATTAGTATGCAACTTTGATTTGTTTTTACTGAGTGTACGGAAGACAGCATGAAATGTAGTATTATCCACATAGACACAGATGTATCCCCAGGCTTCGCATTGTCACACAAGGCAATGGTTTCCATGGAAGAAATACTAAACACATCATTGGAGTCACCTGATGGCCCTGTAGAAAATTTTAAAATCAGTTAAAACTGCAAAACATCCAAAATATACATTATTATAGACATAGGGAAATATTTTATACCATAAAGCCTCAGTCAAATAGTTTCATATTGAACAAGCTAGAGTTATTAATGCCAGACATCTAAAAAAGGGACCGGAAAGAAGAATTAACCAAAGAAAGAGATCAAAGATAAGAGGGTAAACTGCGGTTTATAGAAGATAGAACAATGCAATCCAAACGTCACCGTTAAATAAGTAGAATTATCTCATGCATACACTGAATGACACATATCTTGCAATTTCACTTCTATTATGGTGGTCAAATGGCCATTGAGCTGCCTATTTTGTCCCCTAAGCTTGATGGAAAACTAATGATTTATTACAAAAGAAGTCAAAAGTCAAAACACAGGATATAAGAGTTTAAAATGCACACAACAC